CCTGTGCCTGTCTGCGGGAGCGCTGGCTCAGGTAGCGGGCAGGAGCGGCCGTGGTGGGGTCTGGGGAGCTCAGCCCCCCATGTCCCCTGGTCCTACAGCCCTCCACCCGGCAGGCTGCTGCAGTCAGCGGGACCGGCACTGCGCAGGGGGCTGGCCGGGCTGAAGGTGCTGCTTCTGAACGTCAGCAGGGCTGTCACCCATGATGTCCTCATCAGCTTTTCCCCCACGGAGGTGAGATGCACCCCTCTCCCTTGGGAAGCCCCGCGCCCTCCAAGCATCCCTCAGCCCCTGCCCTGAGGCTTGGCGTGCCATGGCGTGCTCTTCCTCCCCTCTGCTCCACCGCTGCATCATGGACCCATGTCAACTTTAGCATCCCTTGGCAAGATGTCATGTGAAATGGGGTTTGCGAGGGAAAAGCCCTCCCCAGGGAACTATCCCAGCAGCGGGTGGGGGGTCAGGGTGAAGAGGAGAAGGAACATGTGGGACCTTGCACCTCCTGCCCACTCCCAGGCTCTCCCACTCTCTGGAAGTCCCAGGGGACCACATGCCATGGGGTGATGGGGCGTTTGAGCTCTCCTGGGAGCTGCTCCCAGCTCTGCCCCTTCACTGCTGGATGCTGGGGATGAGGTTCTTCTCTTTTGCCTGTGGGGATTGTGCTGATGTTGCTGAGCAAAACCCACCCAGGCAGGGCTGAATTTGTGCCTGGGGCAAGGCCGGTGGGTCCTGAGCAGAGAGGTGATGCTGCCAGCAAACAACCTCCCACTGCCGTTCACTGCCTTAGGACCCCGGGATGCTGAACATGACGGAGAAGGGGAAGGAAGGCAAAATCCAGCTCCCCAGGGAGATATTCCAGTCCCTAAGCAGTCAGATAGCGCGCGTGGTGGTGACGGTCCTCAACATCCATCAGCTTGGCATGTTCGAGGTACAGGCTGGCATTGCCGCATCCCTCTGGCCACCAGCACTCGCTGTGTGCCGGCTGGGCTCAGGCAGCGCTGCCCCACACAGGAGGTCAACCAGACGGGGCAGGTGCTGGATTACACCGTGGTGGGCATCACGGTGGGAGAGACGAGCATCTCCGGGCTGCAGGACCCTGTGCAGCTCACCTTCGCCCACGGGCAGCTGCCCCACGTAAGACACGTGCCCTCCCTCCATCTGTCCCCCTCCCTGTGGTATCGGCTGATGCTGCTCTTCTCCCTTGCAGGGTGTCACCCCGCAATGCGTCTTCTGGGATCTCAGCAAAGGTATGGTCCTCGGTGGGGCGAGGCGTGGGGCCGGGCACGGGTGCTGCGCCTGGCACCCACGGCTGTCACCCTGTGCCGGTCGCAGGGCAGGCAGGAGGCTGGAGCAGCAGTGGATGCATCACACAGCCCAGCGACAAGGGGACAGTCTGCTCCTGCAACCATCTCACCTTCTTCACCCTCCTCCTGGTGACAACCCCACTCCCCACAGCTCCTGCTCGCACCCCAGTTGTGCTGCCTACCCCGCCTCGGGGGCCCCTCGGGTGTCACCAGTAGCTGCGCAGGGAGAGTTATAGCTG